AGGAATTTTTCCAGGAGAGTGGAAGAGTGGGTCGAGATGGAAAGCCAGCCGTATCTAGAGTTTTTTTCAACTCTTATGACATCAGTAAAGCCAAGGGTTTAGTCTCCCTGTCAGTGAAGGAGAATGTACATTGCACCTGTGCTGTGATAACAGTGCTGCAACCTGTTGCTGTGGTGATTGTCAAATCAAGGCAAGGTTGGATACTACCATGAATCAACTTGCAATTTCATGATTGCTCTTCTTTTACACTAATTATATTACTATAAAGAACTGAGTACTGTGAACTGTGATAAAAGTCCCTAAAGGTGTTACCTCTTGCAAGCATTTTAGCCATTGACACTCAGGAAATTTGTGTGGCTTCATTTTTACATGCCCATTTTTCTGTTAAGTTTTTCTGGTCAACTGTCTGTGTTACTGTCTGTAAATGAGGTTTGGCTGTTTATTTGTTACTAGTATTATTTGAAGGGCTCTGGGCAGAACATCCTAAGTGACCATTTGTAAAATCTGAAATCTTCCTTTTTGTGCCTCAAAAGGGACTCACTTGCCTGGATTGAAGACTGATGTTGTAAATGACAGGATGTCAACTAGGTCAATAAATCCCTTGTTTTTCAAATAGAAAAAATTATAAAAATACATACAGGTGTCCTTATTCCTAAAACATTTTCTCAAAGATGTGAATTTTTCCCCCATTTTGTATCTGTTTCAAGTACCTTGACAATAACAAGTCATTAATTTCACAAAGTCACTTTGGACATTCTTGCCCAGAGACCTTCATTTGAAAAAATCATGAAGCACTCATTTCCAACAGTGCCAATCCCCCTGACACTGCGTGAGTCAGGCCTTTTCTCACATCCGTACTCCTGGGTCAAAGTATTAGCCTATCCCAGGACAGTTGATATATCCTCATGTTTCTGGTAAAATGCTGAGTTTCTTTGCTATTGTATCACCTGTGTTCTGTAACACCTTTGAGGGGTGTAACTAGATTCCGCCCCTGGATGTGATCCCACACTCTGGCCATAGGCATTTAAGCAATTTGTCCACACCACTAGACATTTAAAAGCTTTTTCAAGGTTTAGCAGTGGGGGGAGGAGGGTAAGTATGTTGGAATTTATTGAATTTATTGATAACTAATTAGTTGATTAATGGCCAGTGTTTTTGGCTAAGTTTATAAGTGATGTCAATTTCATTCATCTTCACTTGAATCACTGGATTCTTCTCCATCTAGAATATTGCCATCTGCACTTGTTTCATCATCATCACTTTCAACTCCATCTTCATCTTCAGCCTGATATTCAGCATTTCTGTTGCTTGCAAGTTGATTCCTATGTCTTGTAAGCCAGGTCTTGAAAAGCATTACATCAAGTTCATCCATGGGGCTTTCTGAGATGTGAGGGAAATGGGTGTGCTTCCTGTTTGGAATTAAGACAAATGGTTTTAAACCTCTCAAGATTTTGACCATTTGCTTCTCGTCCTCCTTTGCACTAGCAATGGTGTGTTTGCTCGAGGGTCTGTGGATCTTTGTTTGTTCCTCAAGATTGGTATTTATGTCATCAACTCCATTTGAAGCACCTGTAGCTCGGGTGACCGCCTTGAGAGTCTTTTGAGCCCCGGTTTTAGTAATGAACTTTTTATTCTTCTTGACGTGATGCTCTTGCTTCAGGTCATTCGCAACATTTCTTCCGTCACCGCCTAACTGGTTCACAAACCGTCCATGTATAGCACGATGTGCCATTTTTGCACTATATAGTGCCTTAACGTTTGATAGAAACCTCATTGCCTCAAATGCGTATTTCTGCCCCCTCTTGCGTGACCGAAAATAAAAAAGAAGAATCTTCCAGTTTAATACACTCCTTGCACCATCACCTTCTCTTTCTGTGTCAATTTAAATTCATCAGCATCAGGCCCATTTGAATGACTTGTCTGGCATAGTTGGTGACATGGTCACTTGCCTCTTTGTCTTCTAGGAATTAGGATGAAAAAGAAACATGAGTGATAGCTTGTCTCCATTTGCAGAATAAAATAATCATAATCATTTTATGAGTTAAACACATTATTATCAGCTTTGTTAGTATTGATAAGAAATTATTTTAGCCCTCCTAAACAAGAATTGTGTTATGACCATTAGCATTGATGGATGAATGTAAATATACATAGCTAAATGAATGCAGAATTGAGATACCTTTTTGTCCACTGTCCTTTGTGGCCACAGTTACTGTTTTTTTGCTCTGCCCTATTGATGCACGTGGCATGGAAGGTTCTGTTTGTGCTGTGTGAAAAAAATGTAAATTCAAAAATTATTATCTCAAAATTTTTGTTTCATTTGTTAATTTAATGCTCATCATTTCTCTTAGAGTGTAACCAAATTGTTGTTTTTAAATACTGTATTCACCCATTTAATCATGTGTGTAGAATAAATGAAGTAGAAAATGATGTACTTGAATGAATACTTATACAAATAATAATTTGTGAATATTTACGTAGCCCTCCACACTTCCCCCTCCCCCCCCTGCCCACACACACACACACACCCTGTTAGAAATTTCAGTTAAGCTTTCAACATTTCTCTATTACAAAACTGTAGTATTTGAAACCACCCCTTCCCCCAAAAGTTACAATCACCTTTCTCAAGGAGTGGGTATGGTTTTCCTGGAACAACACCAATTAGCAATATTTTAGCCTAAACAACGTAATCTTTGAGAGATGTTACCACATTTTCCTGAAAACCCTGCCAAGGAAGTTTCTTTTTTAATTAAATAAGTATAGCATGTTTTTAAATACTACCAGGTGAGTGTAGCTACAAAATGACAAGTGGCATTGGGACACCCATGTGATGCTTAACACCTGCCTTAACAAGGTGTAAACACATCTTCCTTAAAAATATATTTTGTATGTGCACAAATGTGTAGTTTCACCTATTTATTGTTATTCAGGCCATGAGTGATTTTGTTGTCTTCTTGTTTCAACTTACATCCTGACTGGTTATGAATATTCACAAATACAGGATTCCTTTGAAAAATTGCCATGCTTTTCTTTGGCCAGATCACCAATTGCCCTATCTGCAAATTATTTTGAGTTTCTGTAAGCAGGTTGCTGGTATTCAATGATGCTGTTACTCGAACTGCAACTTCAGTTGGACCAGGCATAGCCATTAGACCAGGCTCAACAATCAGACCAGTAGCCACAAAGTTTAACCGATGCTGCATTATCAATCCAGTTGCAGATGTTGCTTTCATGAGCAGAACTGTGGTACCTACAATATATAAATAAGTATCTTTTATCTGTTATCTGTCAGAGGAATGTGTTAAATTAATGTGGAACTCAGTGATGAAAGTAACAGTTTTGCCTTAGTATAGTGATTTTACTGGTTCTACCAAAATTATTATCCTAATTTAAAAAAATTATTATGCACCTGCAGCTGTCTGGTTGGCATGTAATCTATTTCCATCCTCTCTGAGAGACTGCCTTTGCTCCTCATCTAAAGCCCATGCTTCGTCAACATCTGAATGGACCATGCAGTACTTGTCTACAAAACTGCCAATGTTTTCTTCAACAAAAGCAATCTTCTCCTGGTGAGATGCTGACTTTTCGGGAAGACTGAGACAGGATGTTTCTGAGTCAGTGTCTTCCATTCCTGCCCAAGTCATGAAGGCTTCACAAATATGAGCTCGAGTCACTTGAAGGACAAGGGCTTCTGCACCACTGTAGTTTTTTTTCACATGGGTAGGAACATTTGTTCTACCAAACTTTTGTCTAAAGTAGTAGAGGGTACCAATGTCACGAGAGGACTTTGTGTTGAACAGCTTTTCCCAGATCAACTGAAAAGTAAAATGGTTTATTATGTATTAGGTTAATAATAAACAATGTAATACTGCTTTCTAAACCCAGTAATAAAATATAAATGTCTTAACAACAGACAGGTTAAAAGAGTCAGGGAGATTCCTCCTGCAAAGCAGTGTTGATGCAATAAATGAGGCTAACAGTACATGGCACGCAGAAAAAATTATAAATTCAATTGATATGTGGATTCATGTTTAGCAAATGAAAGCTTTCATCACAGGTCTCTTATTAATTAAATCACAGAACATTTTTTTTGTACAATTGTAATATAAATTACAGACAAAAATAGTGCATTCTAGCTAGTATTGTTGTAAATTCCAATTCTATATGGTGTGTATATTTTCAGTTTTTAGCTGATTTATTTTTTGACAATACTGAAATAAAAGCCCCAAAGAATTAATGGTGCTAACTTCAGACATGATTGCTACCTTCATATCCTATTGTTTTTGTTGTTATAATAATGATCATAAAGATAATCATAAATATTATCACTTGTTATCATACATTTTACTACTTTAATTATTATTGTTTTATATATTTGTTATTTTTGTTAGCTAGACCATTTCACTTACACTAAGGAAGGCCTGCTTTGCATGCCAAAGCTCTGGCATTTCTTCAATGTGTTCTTGCCTTGCAGTAGCACTGTCACACCCCAGGCGTAATTTCTTGGCTCCAGTCACCCTCTCTCTCCCTAGCTGATCTCCACCAAGGGGTACTTTAACACCATTCAAGATTCTGTCCATTCTTGCCTGCTTTTCTTCTGTTGATTCATTTGCTGGGACTTGATGGTCTTCTGGTGTATAGATTGTACCAAGGAGGCCTTCCATATAATCAAGGTACTGGATAACATCAGCATGCTTGGATTGGTTAAATGGCTGTACAGGTAAACCAATTATAACCGATTTTTTGGCCATCTCTTTACTGTGAGGGTGGGGAATGTGCTTGGGGACAGCCTCCTTAATGTGATTTAGGGATGGCATCATCTTTGTTAACACTCTTGTCACCAATGTGATCATGGTACTTCTTAGCTCTTTTTTCTCATCTTTACTAAGTAAATACTCAGTCAAAGGAAGTTCCTTCAAATCTGCCAGTGGTTTTGTGCTGTCAAGATGACCTGATGGCACCCTGTCAAATGTAATATACTGGTTAATCCAGTGTACATCCGTGTTGCGATGATTTGAAAGAACTTGATTTGCTAAGATACGGAAGTCAAGGTTGTCAAAATTAACCCGTAGCTCTTCACCTTCCCGCACCAGCTTCTGGATCTTTGGTACCAAAGCATCACTAATTGTGTCCATGGTCCTGACCCACGTCTTCTGAGACTGGGTGATGCCTAAAGCATTCAAGCAAGTAAAGGTCTGAAAAAATTAAACAACATTAATGGACAGATGTGAGTCGATGTGAGCAATTGAAGTTTATGTTTGGTCTGTCTTGGATTTAAAATAAATATCCATGCCAAAGAGGTGTTTGTAAAGAAACTAGTATTAGTAAATAGCAAACTAGTGGATAGTGTTTTTCATACACTCTGATTGGCTACTAAAACCTAGAATACTGGCAGTATATCCACCTCTGGATTTCATTCACAAACTTTTTCCCCATTTTATGAGAAATAATCTAACTATAATGTTTTTGGCTGGTTATCCACTGCTTTGGTATATATGGTATACTAAAGACCACTAAAACAATTATTTACCTCAGTGTCAGTGAGGAGAGGTGAATTTTTGCCTTGCCACTTTTCAAGTCAGTAAACCTCTACCGCATTTTTACCTCCACTTTGGTAAATACTTGTTAAATAGTTATTTGGTTGTTATTAACAAAGTTTAGTAAATAATTGGATCCTTTTGTAACCTGTTTTTTGCTGTTTCAAAATAAAACATTGGGTTCATTCTCGGTTAATAATATACTGTCTAGGCATTTTGATTGACAGTAAGACTGATTAAAGGGCAAATCATTTTTATCTATTCACATTATAAATTAGTTTTCTTTAAGGCACCCCCCCCCCACCCCCACCCCCCCCTCTCCAATCAAGTTGTTGTTTCAATTAATACCGTACCCCCTCACCTTTGGTGTTTATATTGTACGTACCCTACGACTGCATCCACCAGACCCCATCATGACTGTCAATAGCTTCTGAAGCAATCCCAGCTTGGAATTCCTCTGATACATCAAAATAGCATAGCCCATACAAACTGCAGGAACGTGAGTCACCGACGGTTGTTTACAAATAGTTGTCATTACATCTAACACATCTGGAGCCCGGTCTCTCAATTCAATCATTACTTTTTCCCAGGTAAAACTCTTAAGGGCGTCAACACAAGAACTTTCATTCACTTTCAGCACTGAAGGAGTTCCTTTTTATGGACGATAAGTTCTGGCACTGCTTGTCAATGTCTTTTAGGAAGTGCTCTTTAACTGCCTTTTTGATAGATTCAATGCTCATTACTGCTTGACGATTAACTGAACATTCCTTTGCTCACACTAGATTGGATTTTCTGCGCATCAGTCGAATTAATCTTAACAGAAGCAGTGCTCTATAAACAAAAAATACAGAGTGTAACAACATGAATAACAACAAACCAGGAAGCTTATGAAACAAAAACATCCGGCATACACACCTGATATTTTCGCAGACCACTTTGCCTCATGATATTTTCTGGCACAGATGGTTCAACTTGCTTCGCTTTCTCTTTCTTCTCCTCTGATTTTCCCGCTTCATCGATACGTAAAAACGCAGGAAGGATCCGTTAGGTATTGGTGGTAGGTTTAGGCGCGATAGGTATGAACTTTGTCAACTGAGAAGACGTTTTGTCGGTAGTGCCATCTGTAGAGAAGAGACTTGTTCGAACATATCTCGCAGCAACACGTTTTTTACTTTTCTGGCTGGACGAAGGGGAATCGCCCACTTGCTGACAACTGCGAAGTCTTTTAACTTTTGCTGCCGCTAGAGTTTGCTCTTGGGAAGAAAGACTTGCTTGAGTCATTGACTTGAATTCTGCGATGCTGATCACCTTGCGAAAGCATGGTTGACAAACTTTTCTTGGAAAATTATCCTCCATCGAAATTTTTTTCCCAGATAAAAATACTACGACTTGCATTAACAGGGAGCTCATTTTCTTGCCAAATAAATCAACGGGGTGATTTCGTTCTAAAACCGTTCGGTTACATGTCCGACAAATGTTGTCAAAGCTAACAGTCGGCTTCTGTGGAGAATCTTCGTTGAAGACCTCCATTGCGAAAATTATTCTCTTTGCTGGAGTTTAATTTTTCGCGCCATATCAAATCAGCCACTCCACTCTCCACGCCAGAAATTTTACTTCCGTTTTAGATTTTATTGTTTCGAAACTAGCCAATCAAATTCTGTGTCCCCAGAGCCCTTCGGCCCTCGTGCTCAGTCTCCGACGGTTAAGAGGGCCAAGCGGCTCTGGGGACGAGAATGCGTAAATCCCTGCCTGCCAATTGAAGCAGCATACCAGGAGTATGCAGCTAAAATTAGTACCGTGGCACTTTCACAGGACCAAAAAAGTGCAAGAGTTGTGTTTCGACATACGCTTTTATCGAAAAGCGGACTTCCAGTGATCATCGCCCATGCTAAAGGACAAAGGTATTTTATAGTTCAGAATTTATGCGGGTATCAGCGGCCATCTCGAGGGGTCGACCCCCGGGCAACCCACGGGCAACCCACGGGCTTAGCAGGGGATTTGTAGCAAAAGCATGCCCCGCATGCGGGGCATTAGAGCGCTTTTGCGTTTTTGGCAAAACACCCCGGGGCCATACCCACGGAATTTGTACGTAATCTGCTGTCTCAACGTTCAGCGGTTTTCGCCACAGGACAAGCAAGCTCGGCTCGCTCGATCGACGTTCTTCTAGCCCTTGAGGTAAGTCATACCGTTATCATTCAAATTAGAGATAAATTATGAGCCATCCATTGTCGGAAGACAGAACAAAGGAATGAGGATAGAATTTGTATGAAAGCTATTAAGGACTGACACTTCAAAAACGTTTATCTTCTAACAAATTTTGCGAATTGCGAGAATGTAAACTCGTCAGCTTCAATAAGTTTATATAACGAGTTGCTCGATTTAATATTTTACAGGATTTGAATGTGTTTTTTCCCTGCAGATCATGGATTGGAAGGAGTTTTTTGTAAAAGCAGGGCTCGAAGAAGAGCTTTCGAAAGAATATGGGAAAAAATGTGACGAAAACAGGTACGGTTTTTGCGATAAATCAGGACGTAACAAATCGATAGAAATCGATCATCGAAAATGTAATCGATTAATCGATAATACTCGATAGTACTCGATATTTGTCGATTGATTAGTCAAATTAATCGATTGAAATCGATAATCACGAAATTTTTGTCACATCTACGGAAATCCAAAATCATAAACGTGATCTGATCTTATCATAACACTGCGTAACACTTACCTTCGAATCTGCTTTGTTGATAAAGATGATGTTACTTCTCTCTCCAATGGTAGCTACTTTTCTTATTTTGTTTCACCAGGATCACTGCTGTAAAGCTGTTTGTGTGTACTGTGTACTCGCTCTTTGCTGCACTTACGAATATCAAAGGAAAACTTTAACGCGCATATGTACTCTACAATCGTCAGAATCGTGGTTAATATCCGAAGCCACTACTGTGGAAAATTGGCAAACTGTCGTCAGTTATCCGAGAACACAGTGGAGAACAGTAGAAGGGTATTTTTCGATCGCTTAAGGGGAGGCACATGGTGGCTTACGGGAAGTAAGCCGCTGACCACAAAAACGACAACCTGTCTTATTAGAACAATACCTTTAATATTTGCCAATACATACACTATAAAAGAACGAATTATGGTAAATTCTCGAAAACGTTTAGAGGATCACAATTGTGGAACGACTTACTAACCGAATTGAAGGATAACAAGTCAAAGTATATTTTCAGAAAAGGATCAAGCAATTGTTTCATAATTATTAATGTCTCACTTTGTAATATGCTGCTAAATTCCTAACTTGAGCCACCATGATAAGTGAATTACAAAAAAATTGTATTACCACTGTAGGGGAGTTCCGCTTAGAAAAGCGATCACAAGCTAACTGATGTAACAAGATTTGAATGGCAAATAAAATACTGAATAAGTCACGGGAAAACTAATCGGAAGAAGACTTAATTCTTGCTGTATTGTCCAGGCAAGTAAGAACCTTCTTTCCTCTTCCTGCGGTGGTTGTTAAACCAAACTATAACCTATGGAGAGGAAATATCCATTGAAATATCAAACCATCTTCCGTTGAGGAAATCCAAGAAATACACTCTTTTTTATAAGAATACACCATTTTTAAAGGAAAGGGAAAGCTGAGCTTTGATCAGAAAATGTATCGACCGGAATTAAGAACATCTTAAGACAGGGCTTAAGACTAAGTCCAATTTTAAAACTTTCTTATACAAAAAGAGTACACAGATAGCATTGACAAGAGGGGGCCAGCGGTTGTTCATGACGCAAGTACATTTACTAACCCCCCAGAAAAAATCATTTGAAACGCCGCTTTGCTGGCATTTCTCTGTTGTTTCTTAGTTCAGCAAACATGTTTTGCTCCCCGTACACCGTCATCTTATCGTTTCTTGTAGCAAGTGCTTGGTTTTGCTGTTTTTTACGAGTTGAAAGTGCCCCTCAGAGAGATGTCCATGATCTTAATGAGGAATTACGGCAACGTGGTTTTAAACCGCTCTGTTCCGTTGATGATTTCAAGGCGTCATTGACATGTCCGTTGTGTGGAATAACTCTGCGTTATCAAGATAAAGCGAAAGCAGTGTGGCTGGTAAAGCGACATACAAATGAAAACTCTCATAAAATTAAAGCCGGATGGTACCTGGATGCGGACAACCACGTTGTGGCAAGTAAGCCAAAAGGTAAGCGACAGTAACTTACTTGTTGCTCGTCGATTTTCAATGCATTAGCGGTCCTTTGAACGACACCTTTGTCTGGAGTACCCCCTGAGGACAAAAACACCGTGTCCAGGGTAGATAACTCTAGATCAGAGTACTTCTTTCGCTTTCTGCAGGGCGTATCGGCTTCTTCCCCATCTTCATCATGTAATACCGCTTTCTGTTTTTTCGCTTTTCCGCCTTAAAAGAAAAGTAATTTGAATACATCTTGTAACATATTTGGTGAATGCGTTTTACTCACTGGTATTGGTATTTCCGGTGGTTTTGAGGTGTTATTTTTTTTTACCTTTCTTGGAGACTTTTTAGCTACAACTCCACGTTGCCGCTTTTCATGCTTTTTTATTAAGTTTTATACAACACGTAACATAGCCCATATTAAAAAGAAGTGAACGGTTTATTGAGCTTACCTTCCCGAAATTGTTCTCGCAGCTCTTTTTGTTGCTCTTCACTCTCTAAGAAATCCTGTAGTCGTTGCCAAATTCCACGGCCATGTGACTTGGGCATTGTTGGTGGTGCCTTGGTTAAATAATCGGAGAAGGATCCTTGCGATCGATTCAACACTTTCTCGGCAAAATATTTTTGCGGCACGTTGTTCCGCTGGAGCCAACGGCTAACTTTTGCGGCGATCTCCTTCGGTATGAGGTCGTCACTTCCCCTACTTTCAGTACTTTCCACATTTTGTGCTGGATCAGAATTCAGAGACGCATTTCCACCAGCGGCATCTCCATCTAGATTATTCGATATAAGAAAGACTAACTGAAAACCTCGCCCAGATTGATGTTGTAGAAAGCCGGCGTGTTTCACTGATTTTTTCTTACCACCCTCAGCACTCTCGACGCTTCCTCCTTTGCCTGTCACAAACTGCCTCAGATCATCCAGATATCTATCCTCGATGAGGATGGAGACTTTTATGACCTTGGGAACTTCCATTTGAGCTTACGTAAATGTACAGTGGAAGAAAAACTAAGATTGTCAAACTGAACGCAGCTCGTTAAGCACAGACAAAAGTACAGGCGTGCAATTTCACAATCGCGGTAAATGTAACCGGAAGTGGAATTTACGACACCCATAACTCGCCCCAGTTACTTGCGCAACTCAGAATGTTCCAGTGTTTTGTCGCCACGTCAAGGGCAGAGCATTAAAAAACTAAATGTGGGTGGTGTGAATCAGCGGCAAAATAAAATAAAAAATAAAAATAAATAAACAACAAAAACGTTCGAACTTGTATTAGCCCAGGTCTTAGGGCCGAGAGTTTATGGTACATGCGGACCTAAAGCGCATATAATTAACCATCTTTGACTACCACCGTTATGCATTTTTACCAACAGGAAACAAGCTATTGACAACTTTCTTTGGAAAGGCAGCAAAAACAAGAGTCCCCGAAAGGCCACCGCGCTCCCTGCCAGTTACTCCAACAATTGCCTTAGCCACAGAGACCGATAAGGTAGTCTCGGAGACCCGTAAAGAAATGAACATAGAATTTGGAAAACGAATCGGCGAAATGGTGGTTTCAGAAACATCGTCATCTTCATCGTCAGCACATGCAGTACATGCATCAACAGCCATCCCGGTTGAGGAGATTTTCTGTGATGCAAAAATGCAACACGTGGAACGCGCAACAGAGGCAAGAGAAAACATTCAAAAAATGTTATTGTCGTCAGCGTTGTCAAAAATCCAACAGATGTCCTCGTTTACCGCAACAATATCTAATCTCTTGACAGAATATAGATACGACATGTATAAATCCGCTAGGGAAAGAATGGATATGATGCAACACATCTGCGGGTTATCCTTTCAAGATAAAAGTGATTGTGAGGAAGTTAATATACTGACTACCACGTTGATACAAGGCATGGTAGGGGCATATTATTTAACAGAAAAGTACAGTAATGAAATTGCAAAACTTCGGCTGAAATTAGAATGCAAAGACGAGGCACGACTTGGAATGAGAGCTAGCCGGAAAAATACCAGAGAGATTTGCCAGAGATCGCAATTAAACTCGCCGCAGTAATTGAAAATCAGGGTGAGAAGAGTAGCACATTACTATCCATTTTTTCTGACCTACTTACAAACAACATAAAAGAAACTAAACGATGGAGCGATGACACAAAGTCGTTGTTTGCAGTTGTTCTGGATTATGGTGGGCCGGCATTATTAAGAATAATTCGAGAAAAAATTGGCGGGCCAAGCCTTCAGTCCGCCTACGTAACAGCGAGAAGCAAATTCCATACTCCAACCAAATTAGAAGAAAGTACTTTTGTCAAAGCAGCTTCCTTCTATGATCGAATTGGATATCACGGGCCCTTTATTATCGCTATTGATGCGACAGCCATATTACCTTGTATCAGGGTGAAAGGGAACAAACTGATAGGCATAGCTAGTGAAGAGGACATTGTTGTGAAAACAGCTCAAGACATCATTGACATTACAGGCAACGAAAGCATGGAGAAAGCGCGATTAGCCAATGCTTTTGTCCTGACCCCCTTGAAGGAGCATGTTCCTAGCTTTGTGCTTGCTGTTTCTGCTGTTGTTAAGGGCCAGAACTTTGAAACAGTTGTTAACTGGTTCAACAGTGCGATAAAATGGGGGGCACAGCAAAATTTGAAAATATTAGGCATAGGTGCTGATGGAGATTCGAAGTTTAGAAAATATTACTTCGAACGGTTCTTAAAAAGGCGTGAACCATTGCCAAACGTGATTTCGATTCCCCACAAAGGTTTCAATTTAGTCAGTGTTGTAGAGGATATCCACGGATTAAAAGTTCCAACTCTTATGTTTCCTGACTGGAAGCACTTGATTAAGAAATGGAGAAATCAAATTTTGAACGTTCGACGGGTCCTTGTGCTCGGAAACAGATACCTAATGATAGAGGACCTAATGAGACTGTATGAAGGAAGAAAATTGGCCAGTTGTTTATGGAAGAGTGATGTTTTTGTAAGGGATAGGCAGAACGTGGATGCAGCAATCCGGATTTTACAGCCACAGGTAAGAAAGTGCTTACAAGAATGGAATGATCAACGCACGGAAGCAATTCGTATTTATCTCAAAATTGGATACAACATGATGAGAGGTTATACAGAAGAAAACCTGTCCGTCAAAGAAAGAGCAAAGTTAGCTTGGACGGCGGTTTGCTTTGTGCGTTTATGGAAAGCATGGATCGAGATGTCAAGCTATACGATAGAATCATCCTTTATATCCTTGCAAACTTATAATGATATGATACTCGCAGGCCATACACTTGTCATTTCGATGAAAATATTCGCCGAGCATTTCCCTGATGAACATTTCCATCCAAAAGTTTTTGGTTCGGACAGCTGCGAAAGACTGTTCGCACGTCTGAGAGGTTTTTATCGAGGCAAATCAAATTTATGCATGTTAGACATATTTGACATTTGTGGGAGAATTTTGAAGTTGGAGGAGCTAAAATGCAAAGACGTTTGTTACAAAGAAACACCAATGTCCTGGTCTACGACTACAGAACAGGACATACTGAGCGGGTTACGAGAGGCGGAGAGGGAAGTTTTGAAAACGGTCGAGCGATTGGGTATGTTGCCATTGCTAACTGCTGGAAACATCCTTAGGAAAGACAAGGAAGGTGAAATAACCTACCTGAATCCAGGAATGGAATCCACTTTAACGGATATTGGTTTTGAGCCCGATGAACTTGATTCTATACCGGTAGAGGAACTGATAAAGGCAGAAAGTGACATTTTGTGCTCTGTTGCCGACGAAATCGACCATAGTTCAGCATATGCCCTGTCAGATATTGCTGCATCCGCCCAAACATCCAGAACTACGCAAGCAGAACTGCTAGAGGACGAGGATGATGATGACGACCCGAGTCAGTGCCATTTATATCAATCGGGAACATGCAAATACATGGATAAGAACTTCAGGGCACCAGCAAATACTCACTGGCTGGGTTGCGATTATCCAGGGTGTGACAATTGGTTTCACGAATCATGTCTAGGAGTTAAATTCGCATCTGATTTTCAAAGGGAAAACTATGCATTTGTATGTAAAGCGCATGATAGTGTTAAAGACATATTTCACAACCAAGTAACCGCAAAAGCAACGCATTATAACATTCTAGATGAAGAGCTATCTGAGGTACAGCCACCCTCAAAGCGGTTAAGAAGAACGCAATACAAATCAGGTTCCTCGCTGTTTAATGACCAACCGGTGCGCCCAAATTACGTTGAATACGAAGGGGAATATTATCACATTGCTGAATTTTTATCCCTTCAGCAAGGTAAAGTATACCAACCTTCAACGTCTAGAATGTCTCGCTGGATGGCAGTTTCGAGAAGCGACTTCTATGAACGAGTGGAAAAAATTGTCTCGCCAAATAAGACCGATTCTGGTCTCTATCTTGAAGACATTGCGGCGTTCTGGGTTCCACGCATTGGTCTAAAGTGCGGCCTAGTCTTGCGAATGCTGCGTAAGATGTCAGCTAAGTCCGAAGTTCCAGTATTCGAGTGGAAAAAACAAAAAAAAAAAGAAGAAACACTGAAATCGTCTGTTTGTCTCTTGGTGCTATCAGCCACCAAGATAGAAGTAGGGAAGTGGTCACTGTCTAAAACAAAGGAGATTTTATGGACTGAATGTAGCTCGCACTTGTTAACCTTTCACGAAGTACCCGAAGTTCGACTTTGGCCAGTTTCTGTAAACGCTGAACATCTAGAGGATATGTTACCTGAGCTCGAAATAGCTGAAAGGGAACGTTTACTTGCAGAAGAGAGACGTCGAGAAGAAGAAAAAAAGAAAAAGAAAATGGGAGAACCAGAAGATATGTCTATACGTCTCCTCAAAGAAGTCCTTGACGACCTTAACGTTACTTATAAAGCGAGTGAAAAGAAACGTGACCTTATTGCCAAAGTTCTCGAAGCCCGGGAAAGGTTGCAAGAAAGTCATTCTCAACAAGACGCACCCTGTCATTTTGCATTGTATTGTAACAATGACTATACGGATGACCAATCGCACTGGTATGACAGCTGCGCATTCAAGGCCTCTTTGTTCCCATTGATTTATTATGACGAGAGAAAAGAACGTTTTCTACATCTTTTATTCCAGTTGCTCTTTCTTTTTGAGCTCCTAGCCTTATACTTGGAAGTGCTTCTCTATCAAGAAGTAGTTTGTTTTATTGTTATGGTTTATAGTTTGTATCTAGGTTTGGTCAGATGCTTTCTTACTGAGTTCTTTCGTCTTTGGATGGAGTTATTATCCTGCTGGTTATTCGCTAAAGTAAATTCAGAAATGCTTTGTGGCCTGGACATTGTAAATCCGCCTTGCCAAGCTTAAAATGCTGTGTAGATAGCTTTGTTTGACATGGTTTGGAGGTTTTTAATGTTGAAATTTGAAACAGGATCGAGAATAGGACTCATGAATGATATATTACAGCAAGCGTTACTTTGTGACCGGAAGGCGGAGATGACAGTTGCGTTACGGTTGCCTTTTTTATAGTCTGGAGGATGTTAATGTTGAAATATGAAACAGAACGAGAAGAGGACTCGAGACATCGTAACAACAAGCATGACTTTAATTGTGAAGGCGGAAACGATAATTTCGTAACAGTTGCGTTGTTTATGTTTATGTTTTAATCCTTTTCAGTTTCAAAATTTATTAAAAATCCCATAGTCAATCTTAAATAAAGTGTAAAGGGAATGTTTATCAGTTCAGTTTGGACTACTGTGTATTAGTTCGAATCTGTTGTAACTTATTCCAGCATAAAACTGAGAACTTTATGAAAGAGAATCTTCGTTCATTTTCTTTTCGATCATTGTCGAACAAATCGATAAAATCGATAGCTAATTACAGAAATCGATCAAAATCGATAATCACAAAGACGCGAGTGATCGATTTCTATCGATTTCCGATAGTAATCGATTGATTAGTATTGATTACGATCGATTACGTTCGATTTCCATCGAGTATCGAAAATATCGATTTGTTACGTCCTGGATAAATACAGGGCTATATTTCCCACATGTTTTAACTTCGCTGGTTTCACAGTGCCATATATAAATGCCTACACCAATGTATATTTTTAGCTGGATTTATTTAAGAAAAAATAAGGAAATAGTTGTGTATGTGTTTTAATGGGATTTGCTTGTTCAGTGAGCTGTGTTTAATATTTAGGCTCCCTTCCGTCAGACCAGAGGGCAAAAATGTTCTAAAAACTGGAAAGTACAATGTTCTGAGATATGACACTGTCCAAAGAGAGAAATGTGTTCGAACAGTGTATTCAGACTAGGCTTTCTTGAAATCAAAAGTACAGTCATTTATACATGTTTTAATACTGTTAGATCAGATGTGACACAATTGAATTCACTCACTCCAAAGAAAATAAGTTTTGACCATGTTCCAACATTGTACTGAAATAAGCTTTTAATATTCTTGAGTGATGCTTTAATAGGAATGGCTATGAGGGGAATGAGGAGGCCATTTGTTCACATCTGCAGTGATGGGCTAGCCCCTTTGCAGTTAAAAAATGTGGATGATTTAATATTTTTCTAGGAAAACAGTGCTTAAAGACCACTCGAAGCCTTGTATCTACCCATATGTTGTAAATGCATAAAAGGTGCTATATTTTTCCTATAATTTTCGTCGCATGCCTTATATATATATTGGCCCTATATTTGCTTCCAAATTCCTCTATATTTATCCCTATATTTTTGCAAGAGACTACTTGAAGCCCTGCATTTACTTGATGCAAACTTAAAAATAGATGTAAATATAAATGTTAATAATAGTCTTCAGGTGTGAATATTTTAATTTCAATCAGACTGCGATACTTAGTAATTTCTCAATTACTGAAAAATTATGAATGCATATTTATCAAAGGAAAATAGTAATTTACAATAGTTTGATATAGTACTTAATGATGTCGATCATCTATAATTTACCGGTAATCTAAAAACATACATAAAGAGAATTTTTATACAGTTATTGTTGCCCCCACCACCACTTTACCTAATGAGATCAGGAATGCTAGCTTAAACAATTTTGTTTTTGTTTTTAGTTTTTAAGCTTATATAATGATATTTCTTTCAAAGGATGCAGCAAAAGCACCTCTCCCAATTAACAAAGGAGTTATTGCAGGAGTTGGGCATTACTGCGATTGGGGACATAATGACCATCTTGCATACTGCTAAAAAGCAGGTAAGCAGACTTGATTTGTCATAATTGATTCTGCGAATCCTAAACTTTTTGAAATTCATTTCCAGAGCTATACACAGTGTACATGTACACACCATTTGTAAATGAATCATTTTGTACATTCAGTTTATACTAGGTACCAAACATTGTTTCATCTAAAAAAACTGTTTACAAACCTTACCACTCTTTTCAACAAAATAGGTGATGTTGAAATCTTCCGTACTTTATAGTTGATTTTTTTTGGTGTTGTTTCTTTTTATTTACAATACCTGGGATTTTAATGAAGGAATCATTATACGAATGTCATACTTCTTTCGAGAATCTTTTCTTTGCTGAGCCATTATAATAATTGTTGGTGAGCAAATTTGTTTGTATATATATATATTCATTACTGTAATTCTAACAAATAAGACCTCCAACAAATATGGTTCATCGAGACGAAATGGAGAGTATGATAGTGGAAATTATGCTCTTCTATTTAACTGTTGTATACCTCTTTCCCTCGTAGTCCTCAGAAGTACCACAAGTATCTCAAAGGAAATCTGGGTTAAAACAAACAACCTTGGTAATCTCGCAGGGAAGTGCAGTGCTGGGAGTTGGTCCTACAATTTCAGTAAGTACAACTAGCTTTAAGTAGCAAATAAAATATTAGTGGGAGATCTTTATGGGCATTTACAATGGCGAGCCACTTTGGTGAGCCATTGTAAATGCCCATAAAGATCTCATGCGAATATTTTGTTGTGCTTGTAAAATGAACAAATGTAAAATGTAAATGCCCATAAAGATCTCGTGTGAATATTTTGTTGTGCTTGTAAAATGAACAATGAATACAAAGAACATCATTGTAATCAAAAGTTAAGCATACTAACAAGGCGAATAATTTACTCATTAATGATTCATCAACCCCAGTTGATCTACATCGGGATTTAAAGACATTCATTAAAGATTCATTTCTTTTTGTTTTTTCCTTATGAATTATTAATGAATTTTACAAGTTTGTTTAAACATCCCTGAACATAACACCGCATGCTACAGAATACTGTACAAGAAATATAATAAAATATACATCTGTGCAAATTGATGATCAGATGGCCACAACAGTGCTAGCTACATGTATGACTGTAAATATGGACTGACGACAACTTTATTGGCAAATTGAAAGATTTTACTGTAGTCGATTATTCTTCTTCTGTGGTGTGATGACATTTATTCGTTATATCTGGGTAGATTTTACATTCGGGTCGGGGTTCATTCGATCGGGGGTTCTTTTCCATACATTTTTTGTAATTCTGGCCAGGCTGAATAAATTTGTGCGTTAAATCAGGGACTTCGTTAAATCGGGGTTTCAGTGTATAACAGTAATAACAATAATGAAAAAGGTGTTTCATTATTAATATATTATAAAGTATTTCTTATTTTCTTAATTTTAAAGGGTTGCCAGGAGGGTATTGGAGATGCAAAAAATGTGGCTGTAACAGTAGACAAAGAGGTCCTGGAAAGAGAGAGTAGAATATATGGTCGCTCCGAAAACTGGACACTTTCCAAATATGAAGAAACAATCAACAGATGTGCCTTAGCTTGTTGTGAAGAGGATGTCAGTCTCCTTAAAGATAGGAAAAAGCTCTTCAATTTAGCAAGAGAAAAAGCTGATTCTGAAGGATACAGTTACAAGAAACAGAGATCTAGATCAAAAGTGTTCGGTGATGAAAAAATGGACAAGGAAGCTGCAAAACGTCAGAAGTTGGTGTGCGACCAACGTCAGCGACGAACTGAGGAGTTGGTGGAGGATATGAAAAGTGCCACAGATACCATAAAGTTGTTAGAGCTTCAAAGAGGCAAGTTCGTGACTGGCGAAAAGTACCTTCAAGCCGCTGAAGTGGTCTCCCAAATAACCGAATGGCGAGGGAAACAGAGAAAGCTGCAAGCAGAGCTTAGTAAGCTTCAAAAGGCTGATGCTCGGTCAAGAAAGTATCACAAGGGAAAAAGTGCCAAGGGCAGAGCAGAGCTGAAAACCATGGAAAGGTTTATCTTCAGTAAATCAAAAGGACCAAGTGATGTGTCCATCTCAGCTGGGTCGTGCAGTTCAACTGAGTCCACCAGCAGCGAGGCCGATGTCAATGATGCTGACATGCAAGAAGGTACACCAAGCGAGTGTTGCAGTGCAGGCAGAAATGTAGCCAGTTCAAGTAGGACATGTTCAACCAAATCCACCAGCAGTGAGGTCGATGTTAATGATGTTGTCATGCAAGAAGGTACACCAAGTGAGTGTTGCAGCACAGGCAGTACATCATGTAGTTCCACCAGTGCCGAGGCAGCTGTTGACTATCAGAGTTCTCCACACAGCTCAAGCCAGGATGGAGAAAGCGATGATCCACTTTTTCTCAAAGCCCCACGGACTGTATAGGATTGTCTGTGGGGCACAAAGAAAATGCTGTACTCCGATATTCCAAGTATTTGTCATGTACGCTGTCTGATGTTACTCGCACCGAGGACGGAATTTATTACAGCCTGATCACTGACCTGACCTTAAAAGAGTTTATTGTGGCACGAGCAGATCACTGTGAAAGGAATCATCGTGTTTCATGCAAGGAATGCACCAACCTCACTGATGCGGCAAAGCAAATTGATGATAGTGGCATTGTTCCCCTTAGGAGTCTGTTTGCATCCCATTTCCTGTCCCCAGGTGCCAAGTACCAGTCTGATAAAGCCCTAAGACGAATATTGCAGCTGCCAGTTGCAATATTTCCAATGGAATTGCAAAAAGGTCAGAAAACGTTGTTTGTGACAGAGCTCAATACAGCAGTTAACTATGAAAAATTAGGAGAATTCCTCAAGACAGTGTCAGTGTCCACAGATTGTAACACTCAATTTCCCATCATTTCAAGGGAAACTTTAAAGATTGTCTGCGACCTTGCTTCTTCTGAGAAGGACAAGAGGCTTATTAAGTATGCAGTGAGTTGTGGTGGTAACATGTCGAGAGAAGCAGCTAAAAAGAAGTATGGTATATCAGATCTGACATTGTTAAAGAACACTGTTGAAAATGCTGTTGAACAGGCAAGGGAGATTCGTGATGCAGTAGATCATTTGTCAAATGTAAAAGAGGACTGTATCCTAGAAGAACTTGGTATATTATGTGGTAATGATTCCAAAAGTGACAGTGACGAAAGTGAATCAAGTGAAGATGAAACGAGTGAAAATGGCAGTGACGCAGACTGCCCCGGTGACGTGGATAGTGAAAATGATGGTCAGAATTCCAATATTCCACCCAACAGCAGTGCCTTAGATCCTGATGTCGTTATGAAAGGAATGGCCACAGTTTCCCCTGCACCAGGCAATGAGCACCTCGTGATGATTCTCAGAGAAAACAATCACAATTGGTTTTCATTTGTGGAGGAATTGAAGATGTTGCTTCACATGTACACCCCTGAAGTCCTAAACCAGGTTCTTGTTGATTTTGCAGCCTACCTGCCCTTCAGTGACTTGTCTGATGAAGAAGAAAGACTAGTAGAACAATCCCGGCAAGCATTCTTAATGACAGAGAGGAGAAGAGTAGCAAGAGAAGATGATGATGTGGTGTCTGATTCAGAGAGCGATGATCCAGAGGATTGGGTGGATGTGGGTGAAGGACTCACTGAGAAGATGAAATCACTTGTGGTAAAGGAAAAGAGAAAACAGAAGAAAAGGGATAGGAGAAGGTTTCTAAAGCTGGTGACAGAGAAAAGTGTATTGAAGAGAAGGGTTCCAAAACGTGCTTCAAAATTACTTAAGCAATTCCCTAACCTCGGGAAAGATATTGAAGATTTCGTACATGAAAATCGAATTGGGGCAGATGCATGGAGAAGATCGGGTGTTGCCACCTTTGATGGAAACGTTAAGAGTGGGCCTCGTGTGACATACCGCAGAATCAAAGAACACCTAGAAAGAAAGTATCAGAGAAAGTTTAGTTATGGGGCAATCGTCCAGCTGTCTGTTGTCCGGAACAAAAGGCGCCAATCTTCCAAACGCTATTGGGGTGCAGCACAGATAACTTGCAGAAGGGCTCGAAAAGGATTTAACATCAAGCTAAACCCAGATGCACATTGGAGTTCCTCCTTCTACAAAGGACTGGACAAGATACAGTTAGAAGATGGTAGAGACAAGTGTATAATCAATCGTGACGACGCAGCTGGCTTCAGATTAGACACCACATATACTCATAAGCAGTATAAGGCAATCTCGGATGCAAGTCAACAAGAAGTCACAACAAGAACGGACTATGTCAACAAATATGCATCCATATTACAAGTGACATCGTATCTAGTGCCAGGTACAAAAACAACTCCCCAATACTCAGCGGGCATTGTCAAAGCACACATTGTGTACCCGAAAGATCTATCGCAGCACGCGGCAGATGTTGTTATGCTCGAGAATGAACAGGAATTCAAGCCCTGTATGAAGAACAAGCCAATAGATTGCATTCGAGTAGACGGTGCAGCTGATGAAGGTCCGTCACATAAAGAAGTGCAATTTATGTGGACCGAGCGACATTTGGAACAGGAAAAAGTGTGCACCTTGGTCACCACCTGCTGCAGTGGCTCGTCATACCTGAACAGAGTTGAGCTTCAAAATGGATGTTTGTGTGTAGCCCATGGAAACATCTTCATTCCGTCAACCATTCATGGCTCCAACTTTGGAAAGAGTGGGTCAATTGATTATGAAAAACTTGAAAGAAATCTTGATGCTGCTACGGATGTTTATATCAGCAAGTGTAATAATGCGCCATTTGGAAACTCATCCATAAGGCTTTTTAAGGGCAATAGGAATGATCTTGCAAGAAATTACAAAAGCAGACGGCCTCACCTTCTTGCATTTTTGAAGGGTTCACAGCAGAGCAAAAGAAAACTCAAGGAAGAAAACCCAGCCCTTTTTGATTACTTCACAGAAATTTGGAAGCTTAGAGATCGGCACATGGTGGAGGGGCTCCCAAGTCAGTACATTTTCCAGCTCCTACCATGCTACAAAGATGTCTGCATTCACCCAGTCTGCAGAAAAGGTAAACCTGATAAAGAGCCTGTGTGGTACGCTGGTGGACCACCCCTTTCGTATCTACCCATTCCTGTTCCAGACCCAAAGCATGGTTGGGGACAGCCATGTGACCGATGCAAGGGCCTTTGCACCGGCCATTATTTAAACCCAAATGATCATGCTGAGTTTGTTGCAAGGAATGGGACAGACAAATGCGTATTTGTCCCGCCAAAAGATCAGCTGGAATCAGCGGCCAAGTTAAAGTTTGACAAAAATGAAGAGTGGACACAGGCAGACTACGAAAACATCGCCAAGCGTGTGCTTCTTTCTGCTGAAGATGCTCGAATTTGGGTAGAACACGTTGTCCTAACATCAGAGAGAAGAAAGGCTGGGGCTAAGAAAGCTGCTGAAACTAGAGCAAGGAAGAGACAGGATTGCCAAGGTAAGATTACATATCAAGAGCCAGTAGCTGCTGCTGTATTGTAACGTCTTCAAATTGTATACGATTGTTAAAATGACCACATGCAAGGAGATTTAATAGACCAATTTTGAGATATTAAAATTCATACTTGGCTCCGAGGCTTGGGGGAATAAAACAAAAGAAATCACTTTGAGGTCCAGCATTGAATTATTCATTTCTTTTGTTTTATTCCACCAAGCTTCGGAGCCAAGTATGAATTTTAATATCTCTAAATTGGTCTTTTGAGCAAGGAACTTTTATTTATTGTTGAATATACATTTCTTTTTACAGCTCCACAAGAGGATGAAATTGAAAGTGATGATGGTGGAGAACTCTGGTGTTTTTGTAGAGATAGAGAACATGGGTAAGTCTTTTTGATGATTCCTGAACTTGTACATAGTTTATTCCTTCATATTGTTGGATTGGCTTTGTACTTTTCTCAAACAGAGGACTGGGTGTTGTGATTTCTGTTTGCCGACTTATGTTATTTTTTGTTATTTGTCAGGTTCATGATTCAGTGTGATTCTCAAGGCTCGTCATGCTTCATTTGGTATCATGGGCCGTGCGTGAAGATATCCAAGAAAAAAGGACGGCAAATGGAAATCACAAACACCCCTTTTATTTGCTACAATTGTCATTGAGCAAACCTAACTCTTTCACTCCCAAGAGTGCCAAACATCAAAATTGAAGAAAAATTCTAAATTTCATTTTGTAACATATTGAAAAACAAATGGTACCATGCAAGAGTACTGCTGAAGAGGTTTCATTTGAATGGTCACACCATAAGATTTCATCCACAGACTCAAAAGTTAGAACTACACTACATGTCTCCATAATTTGACTCTGGGAGTGAAAGGGTTAATTCATCCTTAGAAGCACAGTTTGCAAAGTAGGCTGATTTAGATCAAATTAGGTTTTCAGCCTGACAGTGAATATCGTTATCTGTCCTCGATTTATGAATGGATTTTTTATATACACATGGGGCAGATCACTATTATTTCGTGTTTATAGTGTAATTTCTGAATCATCTAGAAGTAGTTCATAGTGTAATTGATTCTGGGGATTTTCATCCTTTGTGCGCTTTGCTTGGTGGTGCATTTCAAAACAGTATATGTTACAAATTTAGTTTTCTCTCTTGAAACAATGGCATTGTATTTTGTCACAAGTAACAAGCTAGAGAAATCCTTCGTTATTCTCATAATCTTTTTACAAGAGAAAAACCCTTTAAGTATAATCGTGACAGATTTTCCAGATACACTGTACTTGTTGTTCATATTTCAGATATTTTACATTTAAATTGTGTGTACGAATGAGTCTATAGAATTACGGTTACAACACTCATGTTTTTATTTAATGGTGAAGCAGCAATGATAATCTTGTCTCTCTTTATAATTTCAGACATTTAATAGACATTGCCAATGCCAATATTTTTATCATTATTATCATTATAAATCTTTCAGTATGATTATCAGTCTTTTGCCAGCCTGTGTAGTTTGATCTTTTTTCATATTTGATCAGAGATATTAAAGCTTCAAATGAAACAGTGTGTAATTGTATTAGCCCTTTAGTCTTGTTTTGCCGATTCCTCTGAAATAGATAATTTGTCATGCCTGTCTCGACGTGAATGTTCTCCTTAAAGTGACTGTTTTCCCATTTTTCTTGTGCTGGAGTTATGCGTTTTTGCAAGTAAACGGGAATTTTTTTTAAAAAATTACTTATTATATGTTGCCCAGGTTGCTCCAGGGGTGGGGGTATTTGTCCCAATTTTTTGCCCTACCCCAGGGGCTTCAGCACGTATTTGTCACTGCAGCTGTGACAAATGCCCCCGGGTGCCCGGGGGTCGCCCCCTCGGGATGGCCGCTGATACCCGCATTATATGGGGGAGGGGGGAGTAGGGTTGTTTGGTTTTGTTATATTTTATATATAAAGTATTAAAATGGAGAGCTCTTGCTCGAAAAGTGGGAACATGTCATGTTTTTTCAACAAACTTTATATCTTAAACTGTGATTTGTGCAACAGAATTGATAATATAAAAACTTTATGTATATGAGGAGGGGATGGGGCTTTATTGACAATGGGCACTTATAAATGGGGGGAGAGAGCCTATTGTATTGTGTTGTGGCCGCTTTATAATTTAAGCTTTATATAATTATTTTTCTGTATATCGTCCTAGATTTTTATGTCTACAAGAAAAGCCTCTAGATTTCATACCTCTCTGGAAGAGCATAGATAAGGTGTTGGACACAGATGAGCAAGAAACCCTAGAAATACCTTCAGCAATATCAGCTTATTTGAAGACAATCATGAATTTGATGTCATCTGCGAAGGACAGAGCTATACTTCAGTTTGTGCTGGGGGCCATTTATTCCAACAGTCAGCTGAGGTATGCATTTGGATACACTTCCAAAACTGCAAATGCAATAAGCAAAGAAGTCCAAGACTTCATCACACAGGCAGAGATTGAAACAAGTAGGTCTACCTGTTTGTCAGAGTCAGAGTCAGAGTTTTCAGAAACAATTACAAAACTGGCAAATAGCATTGAAAAATGCGAAAGCATGTTGGAAAGAAAACGAAAGCGCCTTTGTGAGGAAGAGATTGATGAGAGGGAATTTGACATAGGGAACAAAAAGAGACGTTTGAATGACATGCATCAAAATGCCAAACATTTTAAGTCACAATTTGCAAAGAAACACTTTTCTAAATGGAAAAACACCCTAAACGTACAAAGTGGAAAGAAGCTGGGCAAGTACACTATAAATAGAGGTGCTGAACGTGCAATTTACTCTGTACTGGCTGAGCAGCTCAAAGCACACAGAAGGCGTTGGGGAGATGAGGGCACAGGTTATATTGAAGCTGATGAGAAAAGGCTTCATAAAAGGGAGATGAGGAGAATTGCCAATAAGTATCTTGCTGCCAAGGGTCTTCCTCTCATTAAGAGTACTGAAACTGTGAGGTCATGGGGAAGGCCACAGAACAAATCTAGTCGCCAAGCCAAACAACACCGTGGCCAAAACCTTTGGGCATTTGTCAAATCACAGAAGAAGTCTGGGCAAAGGCATGTCAATGTCCATTATAACCGTGCACATATTAAACACTATACCAGACTTGCATTTGGAAAGTCTTCAGTAGATTTGTCCAAATATGTTGTATGCCGAGCTATGGATGATAAGGCCTATGTCCGATGTGGCACCTCAGAGGGATTTTCACGCCCACTCCATCGTCCCATCCAGCCAGCTACAACACCATTTGAAATGCCATCCAGTGATTATCCTGATACTGTGGGATACGTCTCTCCAGGGGTTATCCTTTTAGTCAATGAAATGGAGGAAGTTGAACACCAAGGCAGGGACAAGTTCACCCCGACAGATGTCACCGTCACAGTTACCTGTAAGCCAAAACATGTGTACCCCAGCTCTGCAACAAATTGGGCAAATGACATGTTTTCTGTCCGGTATTGTATGCGCAAAGAACATGAGGTGGAAAGAGAATGTCAATTAACCCTCCCAGATGAAGTTTTGGATGTCTTGGTTATGCTAAGAGACACCCTCCTACAGTATGAGCTGATGAGCATCCCAGATGATTATCTCCGAGCCTGTGAGGGAGGTGATCATTTGGCTAGAGAGAAATTGCGTCATGATGTCTTATTAAACGTCTGGACATATGTCTCTCAGCACTGAACTGTGTGGAATCTGTACAGCCAATTTGTGTGATGATCATGAATTTGAAAGGGGAGCTCTCCAAAATTGGTATTTAAACAAAACATCTTTATATAAAATGTGATTTATAATATAATACATATTAAGTATATTGTTAGTATCCCCCCCTTTAATATACCATTGCCTATCAACCAATCAAACATCAGGATTCACAATATACATGTAACATAGCAAGTTTTTAATAATTGATAAAAGATTATGATAGTTTTGAGTTTTGAATTCTAAAGTATCATGAGCTATCATGTGCCCTTTCACCAAGGCTAATTACATATAAGATGCTTTTATATTAAAGGTATACAATTTATTATTCTTAAATTTGTCATAGCTGAGATGCTTGCACATCATGAGGTACTTTCTGCTGAAGCACAGAATACATCCTACTCTGCAGCTACTGCAAGCTGTAAAGAAATTAGAATCCATCTTGAGACCAGTGGTCTGCCTCAACACAAGTTAGTTCAAGTTATTTTATATGTTATATATGTTGTGGTTCAAATTTTTCCTTGGTTTAAATTTTTTAAACTAATTTGATCTTCATTTTCCTTTGTTCAAGATTATGATAATGAATACAAGATTAAGAAAAATCAAAAACTGGTTTGAAAAATTTAAAAACAAGGAAAAATTTGAACCACAACATTTCTGTTGTAATTGTGAATTACAAATTAAAATTTACTGTTGTGTATCTGTATACAGTACACTGTAAAGGGTGCAATATTAAATTAATGATGTTCTTTTTGATAATATCCCATAGACCTATTGACATTCAAACAACTGATGCTGGCCCCGGGGTTTCTACAAATGAGAAGATGAGCCAACTTCGTCTAGCTGAATGTTTTATGATCAATGGGCTGGACCTCCAAGCTAGGTTTCATTATGCACCAGGTAATAAATCTTGTGGTATATTAAAATTCTGTAATATAAAGAATGAAATATTGACTTGTGGCATTTAAGAAATGTACACTTTTTTTTTCCATTAACATTGTATGCACAGGTCTATGTCCATTTAAGTATCAACGTGTACACTTGGAGAGGCCAGGTTCAAACAAAAAACCTTCTGTTTGAGTGCCCAGTGTGTTATTAACCACAAGGCCACTGTGCCTCCACAGTATGTACAGCATACTAAAAACTTTCACTTGTTGAATACACTTTTTAATTTTAAATATCTTTCTTTCAGGTGACTCTGCTTGTCACATAGCAGAAAAAGTGATGCGTTCCCTCAATGAATGTCTAGGGGATGGAAGAGCAATTGCAGTACGTTATGATGACTCCTCTGTTCTGGATAGCTTATCTGAATTATCCAAGGATGAACTCAAAAAGGCAAAAGAAAAGAAAATGGAAAATGCTGCTATTGAGTGTGCAAAGCAGGTGAGTCAACGATTTAGTGGTAAAACCTTCATGGGCACATCAATTCATTCAAGACTACCATCACTTCAACGGCATTTGACATTTGTCTTTGATGAAGAGTACATGCAGAAATGCTGCACCAATGCATCATCGGCCTCCAACCTTGAATTATGTGCAGGCTCTGCTTACTTCAACTTTGTACACAAATTCTTTCACAGCCACTACTATTTATATGACAATGGCTGTGAAGGAATAAGAAATGGATGCATCGAACAGGGAAAGCAAATGTGTCAATTTCACCAAGACATTGAGAATAAGGCACTTCTTTCAAATTGCTGGCGGGGTGAGTCAGTCCAGCGTGTACCTCCTCCTGTACCAGATTATTCTGAGACCTCCTCCTTCCATTACTGCACCCTCCAACAAACATGGAATGGTGATGTCTGTGAAAAGTTTGGTGTGAAGAAAGACATAGTCAAAGATGCCACAAAGAGGGAACTAAATGACTTTTGCCCACGCAAGCAACTTGAAAAGCTGTTTGAATCTTGTGGTGAACCAGACTTACAACTAAAAGAGTTTACCCATGAAGATGGTTCTGTGTCAGTAAGCTGCATAGACAATAATAAAATGTTGCAAACTTTAGATGAGCAGCTGGACAGTTTTGTGGAGAAATTTGTTGGTGAGGATCTTCGGAAGACTACGGAAAATGAGATGAGAAGAAGATATAACCTGAAGGTCAAATCTGAAATAATCAAGAAGTCCAAAGCAAGTGTGAAAGCTGTGGAAAAGGCAAAATCGTACCAAGATATTGACTGGGAAAAACACATCTCTGAGAACTCTTTAGACAAACTCTACGTGTCACAGCTTAACCTGTACTTAGTACAGCATTTGAATATGACCAGAGCAGAGTGTGACAAAAAAGGATACACAAAAGAGAAGAAGATACAAGACATAAAAGCCAATTTCTTTGGCAGACAGCTTAACAGCTCATCCAAGAAACAAAACAATGGTCCAACTTTAATCTCATTACAAGGTACCACGCATAGTCACCCATCTTCAAAAATCACAAGTCAGCCTCCTTCTGCAAATTCCTCGACACTACATGTTCCACCTTGGGGTGGCACCCTAAATAATACTGCTCACATGGTCACACAATCATTAACAAACACTTGCCCCATTGATAATTATTTGACTATATTCTATGTGCTATTAACTGACCATAAGAAGTTACATCAAGAACTTGTCAACAGAGATTTTTGCTGGAACCCTCATTCACATCAAAAATTTATTTGACACCAGAATGTTTCCTGAAGCAAAACTTGAATGGCTACATTTGTTTCCAGCAAGATTTGACCTCACAGCACCAATCATTGATTTGTGGGGAAATGAGGATGACCTCTTTCTCTCAAGGCTTCAGCCTGTCTTGCGAACAACACATACTGGAACCTGTTCTTCGCCTGCATGCCCAGCCCAACAGGTGGATTATGTCTCCCACAACGTTATGTTAAGGTACTTGCCTGCAACATTTTATGCATTTATGCATGGCTTTTAAATGATATACCCTTCCATGGAAAGTACAACCAGTCAGAATATTAAAGCATATATTTGTATGTTGCTATTAAAATGTTGCCTGTATGTCTGTGTGTTGTATGTTATCTTTTGTTTTAATTTTATGTATGTCTGTATGTATGCACAAGTACATGCATGTCTTCTCATATATAAACCCTATTAAAATAATGTATTTAATGTGTTACTTCCAAGTGAGGTTGGCATACCACCTCCAGGATTTCTGCAGATGAGTCTTGACGAGTGGATGTCAACAGATCGTGTGAAAACACTGTGCGGTTCCACTCTTCTGGGTCCACTTACAGGTGGTAGCCCCCACTTTTTTGGGACAGTTTTTAGTCAGTGCCCTACTTCTGGTCAATTTGTGTAAGTTATACACATTATTGTTAATTTAAAACAAATAACATTTAACTGAATTTTTGCTTCGAATCAAAATAGAAGCATTGTCACATCAGCATATAGACCATGTAGCTGAAGCTCTTGAGTAGGGTGCTGATGTAAACGTTCATTTCCATGTTTAAATTTGTCCTATTTATAAATATCCTTTGAAATCATTAAATGTATTTATTGTAATAGGATTATATGATTAATTGTACAAGTAGTGTTCATTCCTGTAACCAAGTTATTGGTTTTCCATGTAGGCAACAACTCCAAGCATATTGTGGTGGACAACGGTCTTACCAAAGGCGGACATTTGTACGTGGAAGTCCTCCATTTATCCCCCTTGTCTTGGATCACTTTGCCACAAAGGGGATTCTTGCAGATATTTCTCAGTTACCCCCAGATATCAAGCTTGAAGGACACAGGTATTAAAGCAGTTAGGGTTCACCACTCTATGTGTGTGTTGATACAGTAACACTTTTAAAACGTGCAAAGAGCAAATCATATGTTAAAATGTTCATCAGTGCAAAGAGTGAATCATACCACTCTCAGTGAAATTTATGAGGTTGTGATTTCTCAGAAGAATTTTAATTTATAATGACAGAAGATGGTGTGCTATAAACTGTGTGAAATGTACATATCTTATTCTTGTTTATGTAGAGAATGATGTATTAAACAGTTTGTCATATTTCTTCCAGATATGTCCTAAAGGGTGCTACATTTTATAGTGGAAATCACTATAGAGGTGCTGTAAAGAGGGGAGGCAACTGGTTCCACTATGATGGTCTATGGGAGAGGCAACAGCCAGGAAGTGGATTGAGACTGGGGGGCACAGCTACTCCACATGGCTTTATGCTGTCAAGCTGCATTTATCTCAAGGCTTTGTTACTGTAAGAGGGTGGGAAGTATTAAAATTTGCTAGGTGTTTTCTTAAGACAACATTTGTGTTTTAGATAAGATATTCAATACTAATTTCCTGGCATTGGATAAAAAGATCCAGGCATTTTTACAACATTTGTAATTCAGCTGAACAGAATTCCTTTATATTTATTTTTGTAACCCAACATGTAACACTGAATAGACTAAATGCAGCTTGAAGGTATCGGCCTGGAGAGAAAGCACTGCTTGAGGTACATGTACCATCTTGTATAGACATACCCTATGGAATGCTCATTTTTGGTGATACTAAATATGAAGACTAAAAAAAAATGGAAAAAAAAATTCGTGCACAACCTTTAGGTACTAAAAAAAATTCGTGCACAGCCCAAAGGCGAAAAAAAAAATTCTTACCAAGCAAAAATTGCCCAACCCCCCCCCCTCAAAAATAAAATGGTCCATCCCTAATGTGATCCATATGCACCCCTCTGAGGTCACGTGTACATGGAACTACGCAGCCTGGTGAGATGGTTTTTATGGACTCATCAGGGAGCATTGATCGACACAACAATCCTGTTTTCTTTATGCACACATACCATCCGTGTGGAGTATTACCTCTTGTAGTCTGGGTAAGGTGAAGCCAATCACAGCTATGTCTTGAAAACCGTCTGGAAAAATTTAAATGCATTCTACCAAGTGATACTTTTGGTGGCAGAGGTGCCCAAAAAGAACCAGGCATTTTCACGACAGACACTGGTCGAAGACAAGCTCTTAGGGTGCACTGGCAACAGGCAACACTCCTGCTGTGCATTTTTCACTTTTTGCAAGCGACATGAAGATGGCTACTGGACTCTGAGCACCCTATATTAAAGGATGACAAACAACACCTGATGTCCATAATGCAAGACCTTGTGTTTGCTAAAACCCACCAGGAATTTGAAGAGATTGAGCCACTTTTTCTATCCGACATTTTTTTTGTTTGGTCAGCGGTGAGTTGATCAAGATGTTATGTTGACTCACCCACTCTGTTGAATAAAATGGCGAAGCAACAGTCATAACTGAAATCTATGATGTTAATATAAAGTAAGCCATAATCATTGTATGTACATATTGTTTACTTCAACTGTGTATATTACAAAGTCTAAATAATGAGTTTTTATTTCAGTCATATTACTAGGAGCAATGTTAATTTTTGTTTTTATTTCAGCCATATTACTAGGAGCGATGTTAATTTTTGTTTTTATTTCTAACGATTCACCTCGATTAGCTATGCCAGCTGCGGGTTGTCAATGTTTGAAATCTTGTTCTTTTAAAAACGAAATAAAATGTTGTTGTATATTGTTTGACACTGGCTGCGGCTGCACTAGGGGACTTAACCGAGTTATTTCCAATTCACTAATTAAAATTAACCGGTTAAAAAAAAAATAAATGTAGCTTAACTGAGTTATGCAAATTAATGTGAAAACAATAGATTTTTAATCACCTCGCAAGGTGCTTTAACATAGGTTATCGTTGACACTATTGGTGCGAATCGCTTGAGGTTTCACAATCGATCATCGTAAATAATCGATCATTGATTATAATCGGAAAAATCTACCAATAAGCATTCCATGTATTTTCACCTACATAGAAGTCAAAATGATAGCTTAAAGTTTTTAGACTGTATTTATGTTCAAGATTACATTGCAGCAGTTCAAGTGAGACTGACACGAAATCAACAAAACACAGGTGCCACAAACTTTTGTTGGCGTATTGCTTCTGCAGAGCCTACAGATTACCTTTGTCATATCCAAGTGTTCCTTTGTTTTGGGCCCTTCCTACAGTTGATAAGAACCAAAATATTCCCACACTTTTGACCTGGCATTTCCAGGATAACGACAGATCTCCAACTCGGCCATTTCAGCCACCATGTTGGACTCGTCAGCAACATGTAAGTGAGGCAGATCTGAGAGAGGATCCTAAGAATTAATGTGAGGCGACATTTCGCTGCGATGTGGTTTCTTAATACCTTTCATTCGCTAGTGATAGTAGTGATACTACAAACCCGAAACAGTGAGCTTGTAATTTATGTTTTGGTTCAGTTATTTACGAAATACAAAGCAGCTTAGCATGCCACATCTTTCAAATAAGCGTGGTGTATTTGAAGTGAAAACAACACAGCGCGCAGGGTACACACAGGTAAACACATTCAATCTTAGATTATATCTGCTGTTATGACTTAGAAGTTAGGAGTCCACGAAAAAAGACAACTTGCACCAAGATATTAAATGTACATTTTTATTGATTTTAATCTTTTTATTTGTCACCCACACATGCGGTCAATTTCGATGGCAATGAATACCCTCCGGTCGTCTTCGCAAACTCAGGAGCATGTTACACAGAGCTGCATTGGAAATCTGCGAAGACTGCATCACATTATACAAGGACCTCTTAGCCGAGATTGTGTTCTAATTAGTAAAGTAAAAAAGAAGAGAAGTTGAGCAAATGATAAGCATGCAGTGTTGTTTATATCACAACATTTGGCATTACGTCATATTTTGTAACCCCTCTGAGTGCGGCCGCTGAAAAAAATAACGGCGTAGTCTGGAGAAATTTCTGACCGGGTTACTTCTAAAATAACCTGGTTAACTTGTTAAGTGCAGCCGCAGCCACACTATCAAAGAAAATGTCCTGTTTACAAAGAATATTTAAAAAACGCCATAGAGGGAGATAATGGGCACTTTTTTAACGAGCAAATCTGCGACCATGGGGCAACAATGCAGAAAACTTTACAAAGTCAATGATCTTTGATCGGGATCTTCTCATGGACAGATATACATGCACCCCTCATGTTTGTATATATGCATAACTGAACTAATTAATAGATCATCTACTTCTATCACAAAAAGGCCACTTGGTAATGCTTCTTCTTTGAATTTATAAGCACCAAGATCAGAAACAAAGTCAGCTGTTTCATGAAGCTTAAGCCCAAAAAATACATATATGTGGCAGATCCAAATGTTAACTAAAGATATTTTGAGTGATAATGATATATGAAATAAATCATATATGAACTGCGGAAATGAAATGAAAATGAAGAAATGATCGTCGCAGTGAACACAATTTATGCAACTGCCTAAAAAAGCCTGAAAAAAAAAATTCAGTCGTGAATTTTTTTTCAGGCTTCTTTACGCAATTGCATAAATTGCGTTCACTGCGACGATCATTTCTTCATTTTCATGTCATTTCTGCAGTTCATATATGACATATTTCATGTATCATTAACACACTTCTTTCACGGGAACATATGAACCCACAATTTACCTGCTTCCAACATCAGTGGCTTCATAGCTCAGCTGGTTAGAGCATCGCACCGGTATCGCGAAGTCACGGGTTCAAACCCCATTGAAGTCCTGAATTTTTTTCAGGCTTCTTTACGCAATTGCATAAATTGTGTTCGCTGCGACGATCATTTCTTCATTTTCATAAAGATATTTTTGAACTGTTGGTGTTTGGCCTCAAAGATGAGCAGCACAATCACCCCTCCCATTTAATGGTCAGCCAGGTTTACAAGCGATAGTTGCAAAGAATCACCGTAAGATTTTGAAATATTTGGGGGAAATGGCAGTTCTTTCAAATGAACTAATCAATTTTCTGATGGTTCAAACCAAAGCCTATGAAAAATGGAACTACTTGTTCTAAAATGTGCTAATTTGGCATGTAACGCGTTACAGAAATGTGCACCTATGTACACATTCACAAGCTTAACGTGCCTTGTTCAACCACAAAGCAGTCCCAAAACAAAAGAAATCAATAAAGCATTAACTAAAGACATAACGGGTGAAGTTTGAGGGGAATTACTTTATTATAAGGATAAAAAACATGAGATTACTATTTCTGGTCCCCATGTAATGTACCCACTCAGTCCTTTTACCTCTTCAAGGTTATTCCGGATTTGTCACTTTCTAAAATCATAATACTAACTAAAACCCTGGGGCTGTAATAGGCTTTACCCAAGCTAACTTTATCTGTTAACACATTTTATCTTTCCACAAAAGAGTTAATTGCAACGACAGCTCAAAATTTTAAAGGGGTCTTTTGATATCAACTATTGATAAACCTGAAATCAAACAGACAACACACTGTTGGGCTTATATCGATCTGTCTTTGTTCCGAATTATAGTTCTTTTGACATCATAAAATGTGAGATATTCTTGATTGAATAAAACTGAAACACTTTCTGGTAAAATTGTTGTGCTCACAAAGCGTGACAGAGGAACAACAACCGTGTAGGGTCGTGCAAACCATTTCTAACCGGCCATGAATGTTGGCAAATTCGGCGGACTTGACTCTCTTTTCTTCCCGAAAGAATCACACGCGTTTAATGTGAATACAAGGGGTGGACGTATGGTAGATTCAGGGCCTTTGTATTGCATAACGTGACGAAAACGTGACATTTTCGATCTTCCAAGTACATGCGTGTGTCCATCCAAGCAATCAAGGAATGCAGCGTGGAAAGCCAATATCACGGTCTTTCACGTGAAAAAATTGCGGAGCTAAGGAGAAAAGCAGAAAAGAAAGAAAAAATAGGGTACATTATGAAAAAAATCGGGAAAAGTTGATTGAAAAAACTAAAGAAAAGCGACCAAACTACCTGTTAGCTCTGGCGTTCCACAAGGGAGCATCCTTGGCCCATTACTCTTTAACATCTACGTTAATGATCTCCCTTCTGTGCCAGAAAATTGTACATCGCAGTGTTACGTCGACGATACCAAACTTCTCATGTCATTTCAACTCCGTGATCAGCACGAAACGATAGAAAAAATGAACAAGGACTTGTTAAGCATTAGGAATTGGTGCTTTGATAATCAGCTTTTACTCAACCCAGATAAAACAAAACTAGTGATATTCGGCAGCCGGCAAATGACTGCTAAGGTTAGCGACTTTAGGCTATTTCTATTGGGGAAGGAACTCGAGCCCGTTAAGGCTGCAAGAGACCTTGGTGTCACACTGGACTCTAACTTAACATATAATGAGCATATTGTTTCTACTGTATCCTCATGCATGTCACGTTTGGGCCAAATTAACCGTGTTAAGCATATTTTTAATAAACACGCGCTAATTATTATTATAAATGCCTTAGTATTTAGTAAATTATTCTATTGCTCTTCTGTTTGGAGCAATACTACTCAAACTAATCTGGACAGGCTCCAAGCAGTACAGAATTTCGCTTTGTCGTATTTTGAGCGGCTAAAAAATTCGATCACATAACTCCTTTGCTAAAAGACTTGCGCTGGCTACCAATCAGGCAACAACTTTATTTTCGTTCTGCTGTTCTGGTTTTTAGTGCATGACGAGTTGTGCTCGGAGTATTTGACATCAAAGCTCGTTGGAAGATCCGCCGTCTCGACAAGGAATACGAAAAATTCTCAACTTTTGAACATACCACTCTTCCGCACTGCCAGCGCCAAAGGACCTTTCAATATAGAGCAACCTCTCTCTGGAATGAGTTGCAGCCTGCGCTCAAACTTAGCCCATCCGTGACGGAATTCAAGTGTTTACTCAGGCAAAAGCTTCTTAATGACTGCTTTATTTAATTAATTTAATTAATTTTATTGACCTTTGTCTTCTTTTATCATTGTTATATTCTTATTGTCATGTACTTGGTTTATAATTTTGTAATGTAAAATTGACTCTGAAAAGCCCCGTGGGGACGAGCCAATAAAGTATGTATGTATGTATGTAAGACAAAGCCGAGAATCTGACTCGTGTCTGCAAACACATGGCTCATTCACCATAAAGAAAGCCCAGAAAGGAAGCAAAGCAAAAGAGATCAGAGAACAGAGACGTGCAGCCGAAGAAGAAAGACGAAAAAATAAGAGAATGAGTGAGAAGACACCGTGAAAAGGCAAAAGAGAGCAATTTCTTGACAACAGACGAATCACCTGGATTTCAAAACAGAACCTCAAAAAAATGCGGAACTGATAAAGTGCGACATGCGCTTCCGGTCACACCAAGAAAAAAAGCACAGACATTAAAAACTGTGATACAGAGTCCAAGGACCAGGAAAATTTTGGAAGAGGAAGGATTAGTTAAGACACCACGAGAGGAAAATGAGACAAAGGCTTTAAAAGCGCTAGCAGAAGATATTAATGAAGGACTCCAACACGTTAAGCAATCTGGGTCTAACGAAAATCGTGCTGCTTTTCAAGCCTTCAAATCTCTTGCTTTTGGGAGTAATGTGAAGAAATCAAGAGCATAAAAGTGTTTGTCTAAACCGGTAAACCTTAATAGAAAAAGCATCGATCACGCAATTAGACGTAGGGAAAATATACTAAAGGGAGAAATCTAAAGCTTGATCCACACAAAAAGGAAGATTCGGCACGACGTGTTGAGCGAAAAAGATGCCAAAGTTGTCTATGACTACTGGAGTATTGTTGCTAGCCGTCCAACAGTTAACAAAAAAGACATGTTAAAAAAGCGAGTTGGCAAAAAGGAATACCTGCACCACGCCCGCCATGTGCTTGAGAAGACACAGACTGAGGCATATTTAGAATTTCGCAACTTGCATCCAGAGATAAAAATCAAACAGAGAAAGTTTGAAAATCTCAAGCCCTTTTATGTGAAGCAGGCCAGAGAGCGAGATCAGACGTCATGCTTGTGTCGTAAGCATGTGGAAACAAGAATCGTTTTCACGAACTGCATGAAGTTTAGGAAGTTTTTGGTAGCAGATGACAACCAGTCGCCACCAACTCCCAAAACACTGAACGAGGCAGTTGAGATGACTCTATGTGCAAAAGAAGAAGGAAGAGGCTACCACAATCTGAAATGTATTGAAAGAATGTGTGAAGATTGTGGTGTTTACAAATGTCCTCTTTTAGCCGAGGAGTCAAGTGACAATGGCCTAGTTAAGTGGTCATGTTACGAGTATGTACCTATGGGGATATATCTACCAGACGGCACAGAGAAGAAGAAGATAACACTTGTGCAGAAGGAGACACCACCATCGCAGCTGTTCAAGTATTTTACTGATCTTCTTGCTAGATATCCAGCAAGACATCATATTAATTATGTTGCGCTAAAAATTAGTAGAAACATCGGGATACTATCTAAATTAACACATTTTGTTCCTCCTAAGACACTTTTCGGGATTTACAATTCTTTAATCTACCCTTATCTTTCTTATGGCCTCGTTGCCTGGGGCCAGGCTGCAAAAACTCATTTGGAGAAACTCCTTACATTACAAAAGAGAGCTGTGCGCCTTATTAACTTCGCACCTTTCCGCTCTCATGCCGTCCCTTACTTTCTTCACTCTAATATTATGCCTATTACAATGCTCTATTTTAAGCTTTCTTCGATGTTAATGTTTGATGTTTACAATAACACTGCCCCTCATAATATTTCACATCTCTTTATTCCTACTCAACAAATCCACTCTTACAGCACTCGCTCCTCCTCCTCTGGAAATTATTACATTAGCCACTCTAGACTAAATCAGAAAAATGATTCGTTTTCTATTATGGGAGCCAAAATTTGGAATAGTATACCTGAAAATTTACGAAATTCTTCAAAATCTCTCTTTAAGGAAAAAGTTCATACAATTCTGTTGAAAATATTTGAAGTTCAGGATAGATATGCTGACCTAAACACGATAATCTCCGATTTTAAAAAATATTAGCCCCCGCTTATCTAAATAGCTGCCTCGATTTTCTTATCTCAATTTCTCTCGTGACTGACCTTTTTTATTATAAATATGGTTCTTTTTCACTCCAACTTTTCGTAATAAATCTTAAGCCGTCTACACACCACCTGCCTCGATTAGCCTTGCTATTTGCAGGTGGTGTGATATTTGTATATTTAATGTAAGAAATAAAGATGTTGTTGTTGTTGTTGTTATCCAAGTCATAACTTCATCGCAAGGTGGCAAAGGGATCGGCTAGATAGTCTGGTAAATAACTTGCCACAGGGACACGTGGTATGCATCCATGATTACTCTGAGGGTTACATCTGCAGTAAGCAAGAGGAGACACAAAGTGAGTACTTTGACATCAACGAAGTCTCTCGAGGTTTCTATCTTGTACCGCCATGCTGTAGAGGCAGTGGATGGTGTCAGCAGCAGTGAGGAGGAGCCCAATGCAATCAAGGAACACATATTTGTCATCTCAGATGATCCGATACAAGACCACGACATTGTTCACAAAGTGCAGGAGCTGATTCATGGCTATCTTCAGAATGATCTAGGCTATCAGGTGGAGAAGCTTCATGAGTTCACTGATGGCTGTGCTGCACAGTACAAGTCAAGACACCGTGTAGGTGATCTATAATGTTCTCTTATGGATTTTGGCTACCACACACAGTGCTCCTACTTTGAAAACTCGCATGAACTGGGCCAAAGCAGTGCAGTGTTGGTGCTAGGGTATTGTGGTATGATCTAAGCCATGCCAGAGTGCTCTATTAAACTATTAAACTAGTGAGCATGAGCCTCCAGTTGTTGACTATTACTTCCTTCTTTAAAAAATTAAAAAAAATTGCATCACAAATTGTTTATGTCCAAACACAAAAGTAATATATTATTGAATGTGCAAATCCCATACCCTTCTTTGCTTATAATTTTTTGTAGGTTTTGTTCAAGTTGCAGCTAAGTGGTGCATGTCAAGTGATTAAGCTGGAAAGGGCTTTGGCCCACTTGTCCATGTCCCAGAATGCTTTCCTAAACATGTGCATAACTGCAGGTTGCGACTACCTTCCAAATGTAGGGGGTATTGGGATTCACACAGCCCAAAAGCTTGTGATAGAGAAAGAAGATTTCTTGGCAACTCTACAGGGTAACAAATATGCCCCAATCAATTACAGTGTTGGATTTCAAAAAGCCAAAGCCGTTTTTCTGCATCAGACAGTGATCAACCCTGCTGATGTGTCGACCATCCCATTATCTCCATGGGAAGAAGCTCCAGATGCAGAATTCCTAAATTCATGTGGGATGTATCCAATTTTAATACTTAGTCCATTGAGTTTATGTCTCCCTTCTAACAACTCATAGTGCTAAAATTTGCTAAAATTTTCACCTAAATGCTGATGAAGCCACAATAGTGGATTGTGTAACTATGAACTGGGACACACTTTGACTGTGATGGGTATGTGATATAAGGGGTCACTGCTTAAAATACCCTGAACTGTACTAACTGTACTAAAATGTACTAACTTTCCATTTGCACATCTCCCATTATACACCTTGTTTGGCCCCAACATTTTGTATAAGTGTTGTAGTTAATTTTTTATGTCAGGTAATTTTTATTTTTCTTTTGCTTCAACTTCATTAGCATATATTACCATACTCAAAAACAAAAGAAAAATAAAAATTACCTGAAATAAAAAATTAACTACAACATATTTATTATTCGAAAGTTGACCCGTTGGTAGTTGTAGATTTCAGATTCATCTCTGTGTGCATTCTTGCATGCGTAATGAGCCGAGAATTCACGCGCGATTCAGTTACGAAATTTCTACGCAGAGAAGTTCTCTTAAAATATTCACTGCTCATTAAGCATAGAGGAATGCCGATTTAAATTTGACACCAGTTACGGGAACGACTAACGGATTCATTTTTTAAAATAATCAATTCACTAATAGAATCTTTTTGGGGTACGCTTGACCTGCCTTGGCTGTTAACGTTGGATTTTGTATGCCTTCTATTTTATTTACAATACTGACCGGTACAGACAGACGCACCCAGTGCAGCAAACATCGGTGGTCTTAACTTCT